AAAATCTTTAGGTTATTTAGGAAAAAAGCAAAATAAATGTAATAATGAATTTGATTTTATTCAGTCCAAACTAGAAAAAAATTTTATCAAACTGCAATTTGGGAAAAATGTTTACCATAACTAGGGATGTTAATGGGGTCCCGTAGAGCTGAGGAGTCCCTCTCTATCATTGTCCCTGCGAATGGTGAAGAGGGGGATTCCCATGGGGATTTTTTACGAGAGGTAGATTTTGCTCCTGTCTTCGTTCCCCATCAATTAATATTAAATTATAAATATTTTTATTTTTTACATATAATTAATTAATATTTAATTATAATGAACAAAATTCTAAAAATTCAAATATAATTAACTAAAATTTTTAAATATAAAATCAAATATAAATTATCCAAATATAAATAAAAATCAATTCAACATAAATAATTAAACTAATAATTAACAAATTTGTTCCAAACATAAATAAAGATTAATCCAAACTAAACTAAAACATAAGCAAAAATTAAACCAACAATGGAGGGGAAGGTGAAAATGAAAATTGAGAAATGAATTAGGGTTAAAGTTAAATGTAAGTAGGGGAATGAATTGGGTTAATTTTTATGGGTTGGATTGGATTAGGTAAAATTGAGTTAAGTTTAATTTTGATTGAATTGAGTTTGAACTTGAGTTTGAGTTTGTGTTTAAGTTTGGATTTGGGTTTGAGTTTGAGTTTGAAAGATGAATTAAATTTAAAATAAAATTAATTTATATTTGTTTTAATTTTTGCAGGGATGGGAATCCTCGTGGGGCCCATAGGATAGGAAAAATTCCTTGCGAAATTTCACGAGGGGAAAATGCTCCCCATCCTCGTCTCGCGGGAAGAAATATTCCTCTTCATCCCGTTCTCGTGACGAGGATCCCCACGGATCAAGGAAAATTGCCATCTCTAACCATAACAACATAAAGTAAATTTCTTTTGAAGAAATAAAGCATACCTTAGTGTTAACTTTAAAAATAAATTAAAATTTTAACTTTAAATTATGATTTTTATTTAATTAAAATTTAATTTAAAATTTCATCCCGTTCTCGTGACGAGGATCCCCACGGATCAAGGAAAATTGCCATCTCTAACCATAACAACATAAAGTAAATTTCTTTTGAAGAAAAAAAGCATACCTTAGTGTTAACTTTAAAAATAAATTAAAATTTTAACTTTAAA